TGACAGAAGAAATATTGCTAAAAAGTGCACACGAACATAAATGCGCAGTTAGAGGATCGGTTAGTTCTTCTTGTACATATTCCAACAACGGCAGCCCCAAGAATTTTTTACGATGTGATGTTCGCGGGGGGGGGGCAAGATTTGTTCACGCGGTTATTCATGTCGTAATACGCTCAATAATTCTTTTTTGAAAGTTTTTAAATTCATAGAAAGCTTATGAACAAGGAATACGAAGAAGAAGAAGATGGTAGCGGTCCCCAAATTTTTTTAATTTTTGATTTGTATGCGATTGAAAACTTACAATTACTCAAGCTTCAGTTGTAATTTTTGGTTTTTATGGGTCATACCAAAATTTTTGTGAATATCCGCGGGGAAGAAGGTGGAAAGGCGAAGGCGGCGACTTCATGGGTTCACCATAGGCTTTACAATTCAAAGATTTTCCAGCTGGAAGATCCCATACCCAAAGACGTCTCCGACCTTTATGACTGCATAGACAATAGCATGTTTTGGCAAGCACAGGGTTTAGATGCTAATCATCACCCTATCGGAGTTTGTTGCATGAATAGAGGTAGTACAAAAAAATTGCGGGCTTTACAATCTCTGAATTTGAAAAATTCTTTTTAGCATTTACCTGTCAACAACCAAAGAAAGGCGAATCTCATGCGCTTGGCTCTGTGCCAAGATGGTGGTACAACGGTGTTACTGGCTCTTGTCAACAGTTTCTGTTTGATCCACAGGCTGCAGAAGTCAGCCCAAATAATTTCGAAACTCTCAACCATTGTGAAAGCTTCTGCAAAGACAGTGAGTATTATGAATACTTTTTGAAAAATTATTATTTCCAATTACAGCTTGCCCCAGAGGAAATCCTGCATATTTGAATTCAAAAACAGATGTGAACCAAAGTCCACACATTGGATGCTCTCTTACTCAGCCTTGCCCTGAACCTTTCAAATGTATGGAAGTGGCTAGTCAAAATCTTTGCTGTCCGAGCAGAAGTAAGTTAATGTATCGTCTAAAAAATCGATTATTGATTTTTCATTAGGAAATTAACTAATGCTTTGTGTAAATGCACACTCACTCATTCCAGAAACCATATGCAATGAAGCTGGAGGTCGTGCCAAAGATCCTTTCCGAAGCACACCCTATGATCCCGGAATGCGCTTTGATCAACTTACTGGTGAACAAGCAAATTATGCCATTGG